AAAAAAAAGTAATTATTGATAATTGATAGGCAATAAACATGCTGTCATTATGCATTTGAAATGGGGGGGAAAGGTACTGTTTTTAGAAGACTTTAAGGAGTGAGTATGGACTTCCGTAGTGTCTGAAATAGTTTTTTGTTTAAGTGAATTATATTTTTCTTACTTAAGTAGCTGAACCAGTTACGCTACCTGCTCAGGAGGCACTGAAAGTTGTGTACCTTTCCCAGGTGAAGTCCTGTCTATCCAGGCAGAATCAGATGGATTCCTGGAAAAATGCAGCTATGCAGTGCGTTTTACATGTTAGCTTCTTGCATAATAAAGAAGCTGCTTTGGCTGAATGAGAGAACTTCTTTAACTCCAGTCAAGTGGATAGTTTCATTTCCACCCTGGGCTGGGTATTGGTACTCAATATATTTTTTTAAGGTATTGGCCAAAATAATCTCCTAACTAGGGGAAAAATCTCACTTTAAGCATACTGGTATTGTCATTTTTTATTTATTTTTTTAACAAATAACAAACCTGCAGCTGTTACACCATTGTGAATGAGACATGAGATGAGACAGATTACATATGAAACAGAGTTTATAAATGAAAGTACATATCTGAAGAAGGCTTGAGTACCACGGTGAGGATTGAAATGTGAAACATTCACTGAGGATTAGTGGTTTTGTTCTGCAGGGTTTGACTATAAGACCTGCAATGTGCTGGTGGCTTTGGAGCAGCAGTCCCCTGACATTGCTCAGGGTGTTCACCTGGATCGGAAAGAGGAGGACGTGGGAGCCGGTGACCAGGTCGGAGGGTTCATACATTTATGTTTATTTGATCCACAGCTGGGTAACTGGAGCCAGAAATGTGATTCCTAACAGAGTTTGTGATGTTATTCTGACCTCTATTCATGCTGTGTGCTCCCCTCCACAGGGTCTAATGTTTGGATATGCCACTGATGAGACTGAGGAGTGTATGCCCCTCACTATCGTCCTGGCTCACAAGCTCAATGCCAAGATGGCTGAGTTACGTCGAAATGGAACACTTCCGTGGCTCCGACCTGATTCCAAAACTCAGGTTAGACAAGAAAACGCTGCTTCCACTTCCACACGGTCCATCCGCATTACTCAGAAAATAAACCGCTGTTTTTGTTTAGCTCCTGGAATACTTGATTGCGTTTGCTTAACAAATATGCATTTTTAAAGACTACTATTGATGAGATCTGCATCAACAAGCAGATACTCAGAGCCCAGAGTGATGTCTTGGCTTGTTTTGTCCAACCTAAAGGCCATAACTCAAATCTATAAAACTTACAGTGTTATAAACCAAAGAAAAACAGCAAATCCTTACATTTGAGAAGTGATCACTTCACACATATCATTTGTTTGTTCTACAAGCTGTTTTGCATGTATTTGTATGGCTCGGACTTCCTGAAAATAAAACGAATCTAAAGAACAGCCAGTAAACTCTTTTTAAAATATTTCCCTCAGGTGACTGTTCAGTACAAACAGGACCGAGGTGCCATGGTGCCATTGCGTGT